CAGTCGAAGTCAAAGGTGTCATTGCCACCCAACGAGGAGTTAAGGTGATCGGTAGGTGGAAGCGCCGCTCTTGCACGACTCTGAGATCGGTCCCGACTCTTGGAGCGAGCACGGGGTTTGGGGTTTTCCCATGGTTTCTTCAACGGGGCTCGGTCTGGTTTGCATCCCCTCTCTGGTTTGGAGCGGGGAGCGGCTTGGGCAGGTTTCTTCTTGGGCTGTCTGGTGGGCCGCTGGGGGGGCTCAGGTGTCGAGTGCTGAATGGTTGGGAGTTCAGAAATCTCTAGGTTGAACTCACAGTTCTGCCCTGTTTTTTGTCCAGCTTGTTCTTCATTAAGCTCTTCCTGTTCATGACACGTCTCTTGTCTGTTATCAATAGTCTCTTCTCTTTTCACATCGAATGCGTCACATTTCTCGACCGTGCCAGAGTCAAAACGTGAGCTTCGCCTCCTCACAACCTCAGAGCGTCTCTTTCGCCTTGTTCCTACTGTGGGGGGCAACGAAACCTGTCTGACACTACGCCAACCTGGAACAGCATCTGCAAACATAAACCAGTAAAGATTAAAACTACAAACATACAGACTGTTTATAGTATTCAGCAATTAAGGTGATAAGGATACGGTCCAGTACCTGCATTAAAAGGTGGTTCTGCTGAGTGATGATCAGGGATATCCGTCTCAACCACATGTACTGGTCTGCACCACAATGACAGTAACAATATGATAGTCAATAAGTTGAACGAATCATGAAAAAAAAAAAAGCTGTGTTTTCTCAAGTATTAGAAATTATTATTCAGCAAGTATTAATTAAATTGATCAAAGTGACCGTAAAGAATTGTATAATGTTACAAAATAATTATTTCAAATAAATGCTGTGCTTTCGATAAACTAATCCTAAAATAATGCTTTCCACAAACATATTAAACAGCAAAACTATTTTCAGCATTGGCAATAATAAGACATGTTTCTTGAACAGCATGTCAGCATATTAGAATGATTTCTGAAGGATCATGAGACACTGAAGACTGGAGTAATGTCTTTTGAAAATACAGCTTCGCCATCACAGTAATGAATTACATTTTAAAATATATTAAATACAAAAGCATAATTTTAAATTGTTATAATATTTCACAATATTGCTGTTTTTTAATCCGTAAATAAAGCCTTGGTCAGCATAACAGACTTCTTTCAAAAACATAAAAAAATCTTACTGACCCCAAATGTTATATTTTTTATTAAAAGCTTTAGAGGTACAGATTTGCTCTTGCTTACTTAGGACTGATTGGCTGAGGTGGACCCGTCTCTACAGGAGAAACCTACAAAAACAAGCAGTAAAATGAATAACTACACACACACTTTAAAACACATCATTTCATATGCCCATACAAAGAAAAATCTGTACATGGATCCTGCACTGCATTTCAACCCATGTCTCCATCCATGAAAATTTACATATAAGCACCACACTAAATAAGTACTCAGCATCTGCGTGACACCTTGTGTACACCTCCCACCTGGGCACTTTCAGCAGGTCTTCGATCTTTAAGCGTCCTCTTCAGCATCAGCAGATGAAAGATGAGTGCTTGCCTTTCTTTCTTGAGCTGCAGGATGACCCCCTGCGCTTGCCGTACCTTCTCCCTCTCTGTTTGCAGGGCTACTGCAAGAGCTTTGTTATTCACCTGCACACTCTTCAGGACAAATGGCTTCACTGTAGCTGTGGAGAGCAAAATATATTGGAAAAATGAACCCGTGTTGTGATTTGCAGTCCCTTAATTTTCTCCCAAGCCTGTATGACCTTCTGTGCAACACAAAGGGAGATGTTAGGGCTAATGGAAAACAATGCAAAGAAAGTGAATGGGGACTGAGGCTGTCAGTCCTTAACATTTCAATTCGATTTCCACAGAAGAAAATCAGTTATATGGGTTTGGAACAACGTGAGGGTGCGTAAATGACACAATTCATTGTTTTATGTCAGCTTTAATAACTGAGATGTGTTTCCATAGACCTAGTACTGGTACTAACGGTATCATTAAAGACAAGCTAGAAGTTATAAACACATCAAAAGGTACAACTAAAGTCACAAATATAGCAATACACTGGCCACTGGATGCAACACAAAGCCACATTCTCTTGTAATCTCACCTGTGTGTTTGTTCTTCAGTTTTGAGAGGCCGCGGCTGGCAGCTAAAGCACTGGCGAGACGCTTGTTTCTCTTTTCCTTCATTTTGTCCTTGATGTCGTCCAGACTTTGCTGGAAGGACTTCTTCTGCACCACCCGCTCCCGCACCATGGCTGAGTGCGCACGATCAGTCACACATCCACGAAATCCAGTGTAAAGTCTATCAGCTGGTCAAGATATCAGCTTTTATCTCCATATTACGCCGAGCTTCACCAAAACACGGCGTACGTCTTACCCAATTATTTGCGATAAGATCTATAAACAGCTACTTTAGGCCGGATAGTGCGTAAGTTGTGTATTTTGTGCGAGTTGATTCTGTGGCGTATTTTCCGTCGGGGACGTTGATGTTCGAAATCGCGCGCTGCGAGCTCTGATTGGAGGAACAAACGTAGAGTTACGTCACTTCCGCGAGTAGTTCAGACGTCATCCTGCAAATTTCTTCTTCTTGGTGTTTAATGGCGGATGGCATACAACTTTTAG